TGCAGCTTGAAGTGTAATTGATGATGTTTCTCGACTAATCTCAGTTTTATTTCGAGGGATGATGCTAAGAGCAGCGCCAGTATCCACCAAGAAATTCAAGCCCGAGTTTCTGTCTCTAACATAAAACAAGCGACTGTTTAGGCGCCCCTCCTCAGTCGTCGCGACCTGGGGAGGGGTTACTCGTTTCCCGCTGTCTTAGAATTATGCTTAGGCCAGGCGCGTGGTTGCATGCACTTGGTTGAGTTGACACCAAACTTCCAGTGGTACCAACAAAACTGCCCAGATTGTCTGGACATTTGTGACCTGTTTTGTGACTTGGATCGCGGTCGTTGTTGTGACCTGCTCCTGTTTCTATGACCCATTTGCATTCTGGTGACAGCCTCAGTGAGACTCTTAACACTCGCAATGAGTCCTTCTATTACGGGGTCTTTTGCTGATTCTACTTTTTGTGTGTGATTTATTGTGCCTGATCCAGTTGGAGGACCTCTTTCCATTATTCTGTCGGCCATACGCGCTAAATGAGATAATGAGGTTTCAGGATCCTGTGCATCCAAACAGTGTTGGACGTAGCATGGGAGAGCTTGTATCCATCCTTGTTTTAGGACTGCTTCACCCACTGTGTTATCACCCACTAAGACTTGGAGGTGACGTAAAAACTGTGACGGCGACCGATCACCTAGTGTTTCACCTTGAAAAAGTCTTTGGATTCTTTGACTATCTGATAATGATAAACGGTTCATTATCTCTCGTCTTAAGATGGTGTATGGTTGTGGTGATGGTGGATCTAAAATCAAGTCACGGACTTCTTTGGCGACTGAAGGAGGAAGGATAGAACACAAGTCTCGATAGCGCATCCCTTCAGATTTGATATTGTGTCTCGTGAAATAATGCTCTAGTTGAGCAAACCACAACTCAGGATCACTACGATCAAATTCTGGAAGTCGGGATTTCGTAGTCATAACAGTGTCTATCTCCACTGGTGACAAATCCTCCAGATTATGGGTTTCTATTGAGTCTGACATGAGATATGTGACAAATATAGCAATAAAGTTAGCACGAAAAATGGTTACTATAACACGAATAACTTAAGATAATAAGGAATAAACTAGTTATATACTCAACTTAGTTTACGGATAATCAGGTCTACTTTTACGATTAAGTAAAAAAAATGTTAATAACAGAAATGAGGTTAAATTTGTGTTCAAAAAGGGCTCACCAGTTTCGTGTCTTAAGGTAACCCTCGTGCTATTGATAGAAGAAACCAGCCACTGTACTATGTATAATGGAAAAACATTCAAATGCAGCGTTCATAACATTGTCATATATAGGCCCAATATAAAAACCACAATCAGTAGACGTAAATCTGTAACACTACGTAGAAACTATCTCAAGGTAGACTGGAACAACTTCAACAATTACATAAGCAATACCTATTGCCGAACCCTCTTTACTGCAGACAACGCCGTCATAGTAACAAATATATTTTATAACAACAGGAATATCTTAAGCGAATTCGCATATTAAGAATACTAGAAAAAATAGTTTTCCAAAAGTCTATAAGCACCAGCATGTACGAGAAGACGTCTACAAGGACATTGTACTCGATTACGCTACCTTAGTGACATTTCCTCTTTCAATGAGATGACAGAAATATTTGTCTAGGAATATGTAATACAGTCGCACTTATCAAACTCCCACAAAATAAGTCGAGAGGAGGAAACATATCTGTTAAGGACAGAAAAGTGTAGGAAGATCCTAGACTATTTGCGCAACTATTTGGTGAACACATTTGCTCCTCATTAACTAAAGAAAAACCACTTAACGAATAAATTCAATACTAATACCTTATTGTGAAATTGATAATGTAGAACTCAATCTACAGAAAATTTCCTAGGCAATTATCATAATGAAACACTCTTAGGTTGATGGACCAATTGACACTCCGTCTAGCATGCTAAAACGTGGTGATTGTAGAATCCAAATTACGGTTTGGACTGAAGAATAGCTGATCAGGTAGGTTAGACACGCACCCTCGCCTGTCAAAATCAAAACACATAATCGGGTAAATAGCAGTTCTAAACAAATATTATCACCCGGCTATTCAACCAATAATTGTTCAATTAATCAAATCAGTCACAACAAATGAACGCTATTCTATCCTGACTGGATATAACACGCACAAAAGGAGGTGCAAATCGAAATGGCTGCCGTCAAGAACAAATGCCAAGTAAAGTAACTAGATGCATTGCGGGAAAAAACACAAAACTTAGTGATGGCGTAAGAAAAACAAAAACTATAATAAAAAATACAAATCTTAACAATCCGCATGTAATCAAAAAACTAACAAAGTACAACTAAGTAGATCAATAGGAACTAAGTACAAGTGTATCCATGGAGTGATTTTCACACACACACAAAACATGCAAAACGGATTTACAGTGATGACATATGTGGTTTACTTTTCAGTATATTTGCTATATCACTCTATACAACGTGTTGCACTACTGTCTGGAAAACTACACATATCATCCACAAAATTAAGACAGGACCTGAAGCAAATATTGAAGATTACCGGCCCATAAACATAACCTCAGTCGTATTTAAAAGCATGGAAAAGGTAGTTGTGGCGGTGCTAGTTGGACATATACTCACTGGTAATCTCACCTCAACCTCCAAGCATGGGTTTCTCTGGTCCAGACTATGAGGTACATGCGTAGTAGACTACATGAATGACATAACTCCTAAGCGAAACAACGGACTCATTGTATCAGTCCTATTCTTAAACTTTAAGAAAGCCCTTGAAATGGTCTCAATCAAAAGGCTTCTCGTCAAACTAAAGACCTTCGGAATCGACGACCCACTTTGTCCATAGTTTCGTTCTTAACAGAAGGTAAACAAATGTTAAAGTAAAATGATTCTTACTCATCACATAGACCAATAACTAGTGGAGTCATCTAGGCGTGTGTATGAGGTACATTATTGTTTGGTATGTGTATAAATGATATATGATAATAATAATAACTTACTCTCAAATAAACTCCTCCTGGAGCCCTTCTGGGGATAATACCGGCCCCGAACTCGGATAAAGTAGGAGGGTTAGACAAGGAGTTAGCGACTCCATTCCGTAGAATACTAACTCGCTAAAAATTGCTAACCAGAAAAAGTTATTCAAACCACCTAATCTCTGCCCTGAGAGTCTGAAGGTTTTCCTTTAGAAGAGTTATGACGCCTCACAGTGGAATCCGAGTTCCTTCGGAAGCCACGACGCTGATGTCCCTTCTGAAAACCAGAGAGACCATTTCTTTAGGCACCTGGAATGCTCGTACCATGTGGAAGACCGGGAAAGTCTCCCAAATTGCTGCAGAAATGAGGAGGTACAAACTAGAGCTGCTTGGGATCAGTGAAACTCATTGAACGCACGTTGGACAACAACGATTAGCTTCAGGGGAGCTCCTGCTATACTCCGGACATGAAGAAGAAAATGCCCCACATACACAAGGAGTTGCATCAATGCTGTACAAACAAGCACAGAATGCACTTATAGGGTGGGAATCTCATGGACCATGGATCAACAAAGCCTCCTTCAAAGCAAAGAAAGAGGGCATTTCAATAGACGTCGTCCAATGCTATGCGCCTACCAACGACTACAGTGAAGACGTCAAGGACCAATTTTACGATAGGTTGAAGTCAGTCGTCTAGAAGTGTCCAACAAAGGACTTGACCATTCTGATGGGAGATCTAAATGCCAAGGTTGGAATGGACAAAACTGGATATGAAGATATCATGGGACCACATGGACTGGGAGAAAGTAACGAAAATGGTGAGAGATTTGCAAACCTATGTGGCTTCAATAAACTGGTCATAGGCGGAACTATATTCCCACATAAACGCACACACAAAACCACATGGACTCCACCGGATCGCATCACGCAGAACCAAATCGATCATATCTGCGTCAACAAAAAGTTCAGGGTAACAACTGAACCGCGCGCTACGGATTGGACGTTACTTTCAGGCCGAGGTTTTTAGTTTTATTTTTCTAGGATTCTCGCAGAGCTGGATGAATTATTTTTTCTTGGAATTATGGAAGTTAACTCTATTCTTAACTATTAACATATAAACTGTGAATTTCATGCCATTTAATAAGTTCTGAGTTTAACTTACGGTATTTATGATCATATTCATACAATAATTCACAATCATATAATTACATATATTCATTCTGACTATACGATCAAACTATACTTTGTCACTTTGAAACCATATATAATCATATTCGACGAAGATCTGCATTCTATATCTGTATTCTATTTCTTAAGGAATATATGGTTATATCGTATTTGAATGCCTTAACCCACGTACTTTATGTATCTACAGGATCTATTCAAACCTCTACCTAATATCAAGAAATATATATAACCGTGTATGTTAAAGGACTGTATTCATTATTTTATGAACTATCATTTAAATCGTATTTGGATACTATAAATTATTTCATTTCCGAAATTACCTGTCCAATTCGGTGAGTCTGTCATAGTTTTTTTGGCAGTGTTTTTTTCCAATAATAATCTTAGACGGTAATAATCTTCTAAACTACTTATCTCTGCACCTCCCGATTTTTACTAATATGGACTTTCGGTTTATATATGTATCACGTACCGTACTTTTTTGATTGTTTGATACTAATTAACGACATTTCTAAATTACTTTGCTATATAAGGCTATCTTTCGTGTCATATATATGTTAACATTTATACAACTTGCTCCTTTATATTCTATTTTACCTCCACACAGTTACTGACATAAATACTTCATCTCCACCACTATCTTCCTGCCATTGTCATCTTTTGTTCTTAACACCGCTAATCCTCACGATACATTCACTCTTAGTTAAAACATAGATTTTGATTTTTAGACTAACTTGAGCCCTCGGAATTGATTTCTTCACCCGTATTTCCAACATTCTGTTCAATCCACTTGCTATACGTCACTTTCTTATCATGCCACAAAAGAAAATGAAGACCCCTGCTCCTAGGCGCTCAGCCAAACGTAGGAAAACGACACAATTTAACACCATTACTGACACGTGTTCCAACAGTTTCAACGAGACGAGCTACTCCATTCATCCGGAAGCAGACAAGTTTTTACCAGTTGTCTCCATTCCAGACATGTTGAAAACTCTGATGGTAAACAGCGATGATAATCGCAACTGCAACCATATCGATGCTATAAAAAAGTTGCAAGTAGACATGAACATTCTCAATCCGCTTAAATATCTCATCAACCCCAACCTTACAGAGACTCCAGATCAAATGAATGACATAAATATTTTCCTAGATCGTGTTGCATCAGAGGTATTTGAAAGAATAAGACGATCTAGCAATGCAATTGTGTTTAATATACCGGATACACATGCCCTTAAAAATATCAAATCTAGTCTGCTTAGAGCCAGCAATATGACACACGTACCATGTGTATGCACAAGATTAAAAAGAAGTCATCCTGGTATGCACTCACCAATCTTGTTCAAATTCAACTCATCTGTAGACGCCAGGGAACTTTTAAGTTCCTCCAATTCATTGAGACAAAAACAGATTTTCAAGGATATTAAGACTCTTTCGGATAAAACACCATGCCAGCGAAAAGCAGGAAGAAATAACTACGGACCATCAGCGTCAAACTCTCAAACGCATCATAATCCTAATGGTTGTAAAGTTAAGTCCGATTCTAAGAGGACGTCTGGCTTAACAACTTTGCCGCCACCGAAAAACTATTCTGAATCTCATAAAGTTCAGAACACAGAAGAAAATAATCCCGATGTAGGTGGTGTCCATCCTCTTAAAAATGTTGACTTAGATTCAACCCAAAGTAGTTGTGCTGATGAAGAATGGGATAACACAATCCAAACCGCTGTTAGTGCAACACCCAGTTACAGTAACTGTGCAACGGATAACAGGAAAACTAATCATAACATCCATATAACTGACCACGCACTTAACGTTGATATATTCAAACCTCGCAAACCATCGCAAGTATGTTTAACAGTTCACAATCCTCTCCAACTTATGAAGAAGCCGAAATCAACCACAAACCTTGGAAATAAACGTCTTAAACACGTTACCCATACGTCAGGTATAAATAGTTATCCGAATTGTAATTGGCCACTTGGTCACAACCATAGACCTGATAGCCTTCTTGGTCCGGCTCCCAATATGTACAGTATGCCCTTATCAGATGTTATATCCAATAGCAATGAGAAAACTTTTTTGTAATTCCGCCAGCTTTCCTGCCGGTAACGGTAAACATATTTCACATGATGACAAAGTGGTTGAATCTATTTCCCCTCGCAACACGACTCTTACCTTAGCTAATCCTATGAGTATTCATGGAACTGCCAATTGCGATTTATACTCTAACCTGCTTCACTACGATGACTCTGAGTTTCTTATTCTTTCGTTCAATGCCTGCTCTCTGTCTAATAAAATTATTCATCTTAAAACTCTTTTATTCCTTGTAAATCCAACCATTGTACTTATTACGGAAAGGTGGTGTAATTCATCTATATCCGATCATTCCTTGAATGTAGATAACTACGTTTTCTTTAGAACCGATAGATGTCATGGAATAGGAGGCGGTACAATTATCTATGTCCGTTCAGACATTCAAGCGTGCAAATTTGAGGATAAATCTCTTGATGCTATAGACGACTCCACTTGGGTTACTGTAAACTGTGGATCCCAAAATTATTTACTGGTGGGATGCATATATAGACCACCTCATGCGGATACTAAGTTTGACAGATTACTAACAAACATAATTTCCATTGCTTCGCACCAACCGCATACTTTTAAAATCATCGGAGGTCATTTTAATCTGCCAAAAATTACATGGGGCTTGACTCCGGTACCAGGTCGATATAACAAGCTAGTTGAAACATTAGAAATTTGTGGATGGGTTCAACAGGTCCGAAAACCAACCAGGGGGGATAATACACTTGATTTAATGTTCACAAACAACATAGACTCTATCCCAGTGCATACCAGTCAGGAGTTTTTTATGAGTGACCATAGAATTATATTGAGTATTATTCACTCTTTAAACGCCATACAATTGAACTCTAAAGCTTCAATGACGTACCAGAGCAGACATTTCGATCAACAAACATGGAAACGGACCGAAACTCTCATTCGATGTTTACCATGGGAAACTTATTTTACCACAAATAATGTTGACATTGCGCTTTCCAATCTATACCACAACCTGATATATTGTCTCGACTGCACTGCCCCAGTTATTGGCCGTGTGGCTTATAATGCTAATAGGGGCCAAAATACTTTTAAAAGAAAGCTGAGGAAATTAAAATACCGCTACTATGAGCAGAATGATGTGTATGCACTTCAGAGTATACTTAAATTAATCGACAGAAATGCTTCATCTAAACGTAAGTATTTCATGAATATAGAAAATAAAGCTCTACGTAGTAAAAGCCCAGAATTATCAATACTTCGACTTTTTAAATCCCGTGTAAAGTCTAATTCCCTTGGCACGACCAAATTCTTCATAGTTAACGGAAGCATTGTTAACGACCCGAATACTATATGCGAACAATTCAGCAAGCACTTCTCGCAGTGCTACAAAACTGGGACTGAAAACTCCATCATTACATTTCCAATGCTGACATCCAGACATCTGTCGGAAATTGATTTTACACACTCCAACATCAAGCAGGCCATAGCTGCCCTGAAAAAGTCTTATGATGGTGGACCTGACGGGATACCTTCATCATTTGTGAAATATGGAAGTAGAGAATTTCCACTATTTTGTTTGAAACTTTTCAATCTATCTATGGAATATGGGACCTATCCATCTGTATGGAAAACATCCCTTATCACCCCTAGATTCAAAACAGGACCACGTAGTGATATTATTAACTATAGGCCAATTAATTTGACATCCGTGCTCACAAGAACCATGGAAAAAATCATCCACAAACAGCTACTATCATTTTTACTTTCGGCTAGTCTGATCAACCCATCCCAACACGGGTTTATGACTAAACGCTCATGTTTCACATCGCACCTGGAGATTTTTGATCAAATTACCCAGAGAACAGATGTTGGTCAGTCAGTGATAATCCTTTACTTCGATTTTAGTAAGGCTTTCGACAGTGTCTCACACAAACTTCTTCTTTTAAAACTCTCTTCATTTGGCATACAGAATCCTCTTTTATCTTGGCTCAAATCTTTTTTAGAAGAACGTAGCCAAATCGTTCGCTTTGGATCTTGCTACTCTAAACCTGTGAATGTAACCAGTGGGGTTATACAAGGAAGTGTGGTTGGTCCATTACTCTTTCTCCTTTTTATCAATGATGTGTGTTCCCTCTTTCAGTATGGTAAGCCTTTCCTTTCTGCTGATGACCTGAAAGTAGTTTATTCATTCTCTTCTCCCACGAAAGAAAGCTATATTTCAGCGGTAATCCAAGAAGAAATAAACAAGTTGTACGAATGGACTATTTCGTGGAATATGCCACTTAATATTGACAAAAGTGGATTTATTAACATTGGTCGCTGTCTTAACTTAAATCTGACTGTACAGACACATACACTCAAACCTCTCAACACTGTTCGTGACCTGGGTTTAAGTTATAGCAATAGTCTGAACTTTTCTGAACACATTATATCTCAAGTATCCAAAGCTAGAAAGCTCATCGGATTGATAATAATAAACTTCAATAATATCGAATCGAGATTGTTACTATACAGAAAATGTATCTTACCCATTCTTGAATATGGTATTTTAGTTTACAGTAATTGTAGCCATAATGATCTGATTAGAATTGAAGGTGTTCAAAGAAAGTTCACCAAAGCTGTTCTGGGGTATTCCGATAACAAAGACTATTACCAAAGATGTCAACTACTCAACTTAGAACCTCTTTGGATCAGACGTATCAAATCAAATCTTGCCTTTATCTACCGGCTTATTAACGGTATTTCCTACTCCTCGGTATCCACCCCTTCATACCTTATGATATCATCCCACAATCTACGCAATAAGGAGAATATCCTAGTGATTCCAAGGACCCACACAAACTTACGTCAGAATTTATTCCTTATTCGCTACTCAACCATGTGGAACAGACTGCCAGTGAACCTCCGTTGCAGTGAAACTACAACCCGGTTCAAAAGTCTCCTTGACGATTTTCTTTCCGAAAGTGGATTATGTCACCTACTGAATATCAATGTATTCAATAATGATTTATACAAACAAGGTCCGTCATCCATCTGATTTAAAAGCAAAATAAAAACTTTAAATCTTTCCACGTCTATTTTATTTTATTTCTATTTATCTTAATATATGAAATCTGATTATGTTTGTGTTTATCATTATTACCGTTAATAATATCATTATTAGTTCCCCGACACATTAGATATTCTTTTTGTATCTTCTTATCCTTCTAAACATATTTAACTCCAGATTGTCCTTTAAAATCAATTTTGACTTTCATAGCATCAATCTTAATTATTATTGCACAAATATTTATACTAATATCCGGTTTCACTCTGTATACTATTACATAAATCTAAATGTATTCATCCGAGTGCTTTAACGGATTTTTATTTTATTTTTTCAATTGCTGGTTTCCTTCTGAGGTTGATATTCATTACACAATTATTATTCTTATCATGGATCAAAACTTTTTACTAAGTGTTCACTTCTTTTCTCTCTTCTTTCCCTCTAAATAAATATTATTCTCAAGATTACGAAGTTTGTAATTAAGACAATAACTTGTGTTATATTTACATTAACTTCTCTGACCTGTTTTATATTCACTATGCATATATGTCTCATACATATTGATATTTTATTATCCTTTTCACTCAGTTGAGACTTTCATCGCATCACTCCAAACTATAACTGCACAAACATCTATTCTAGCGTCATATCTTACTGCAGTTATAAGTTATTTTTTCTTAATTACTTTTGTTACTAATTTAACGATACACACATAGTCGTTTATTCTTGCTCTGTGTTCATAAACACGCCTATTAGACTGTTTGCGTATTTCACGTCTCCTTATTTTCTCCATTTCCTTCTTTAAACTCAATTCAATATTCTCAATTGCACAGACCCGATTTATTATTATTAATATTCTACTATTATTGCTCTAAATTTATTTTCTTTAAATATGGCAAGTATAATGCTGACATTATTGAAAATTGTGTATTATTGCATTTTTTGAAGAAACCCGAAATGGTTTCTTCACAACACTTA